TGCAGACCTCTCGCACTTAGATACTCACTGACAAGTTTTAACTGTCTGGATGTCCTTTATATTTTCTCATTTTATTTTCATTTTTCTTGCCTGTTAAATTGTAATATGAATGCTTAGAGGAAAAGGAATTTTGTATTTGACAGACAGCATCTGTTGCTGCAGATCTTAGCTCCTTTTCGAGTAGCCAAACACAAATAAGAATTATGGACACTAGCTAAAGGGAGTGGTGAGTAGAATCAGTGACAAGGCGAAGCATTTATTTGCTCTTTCTCTTACTCCGGCATCCTTCCATGAGGAGATGAGGACCCCTCATCCACATGTGCACTCTGCAGTCTGGGCTCCTCTTTCCTGGCGTCCATGTCACTCTTACAGTTAATCAAGTTCAGGAGGTACAGCTTGCTGGCTCTGTCTGACCTTCCATCAACTCTGAAAGTGAAGCTTCAGAAGAAATTAAAGCTCAAGTGGGTGGCTGGCCACAGGCAGTTGGGGGAAGGGACCAGGGCTCCCCTATGTTCCAGCTCCACATTCTGTCTGCTCCAACCCCACACTTTTCCCTCTTCCTCTCACATCTTCAGGCTCTTCACAGAGGGGTTGGAAATGAAGTCTAGAGTCTAGAGGCAAGAGAGGAAAGTGAGCAGGACTCCATGAACTTGGAATTGAGCCAAAATATGTGAATATGTCCAATGAAACCTGCATGCACACTTCTGGATCCTTGATTACAATGATCAGGATGACGAGAAATCATTGCAAACCATATCTAGAGACCCCTCTTTTCATCACTATTTGTTGTCATTTTAAAGATGAATCTTGGTAATAACAGGTGTCATCTGTTTTGAAGAATTAAATAATTACAGTAAATACTACACACCAAATGCACGGGTGCACGCACCCGTGCGTGCGCGCGCGCGCACACACACACACACACACACACACACACACACACACACACCTGTACTGAAAATTCTGAGTATTTTGCCTACTCCCAACATCTTTTACTTTTCTGGACTTTTGGATGTGTGACAGTTTGTTCTCTCTTGTTTTACTTGTGTCGTATAGAGGGCAGCTTGGGGCTAGCATCACTTCCTGTTCCAGAAAAAGCCACTGTCTTTTATTAAGCAATGCTTCTTTCCAAGTGCTGCAGCATCCATCCTTCAAGTTCTCCTTAAGGAGTCACTTCAAATATCTGCAGAAATGGCCGTTAGGATCATGCATTTTATCTTCTTATGAGCCATTCTGGAAACGGAGACAATGCATTGGCTGTGGATCTTGCCCAGATTCACACTTGCAATTTTCATTTATCAAAAATGCTGCTTCCCCAAGTTTTTCTTGCAGAAATCTTATAAAATCTGAAATCACTTAATTATTAAATTCTAAAGCTAGATGGAACAGTAGCAATCTTCCATCATAACATCTTATATAAAAGATAAGGAAAGGAAATTCAACTAACTAGTGATAACATCTGGACTGCAGCCTAATTCTACTGATTAGCAATTCAGTTCTGTATCCAAAATATCACAGTGATACTCAGAAATGCCACAGTTCAAGATTCACTGGAAACAAGGTAAGTCATATGGAAACTCCAGGAAGTTCTAATCAAATAGATGTACTGAGAGAGAAATAATTCATTTTCAAATAATGTTAACAATCCCTAAAATATTAAAATAAACTCATAGACTCTCACTTCATGCCAGGAGAAGGGATCCAAGTTATTTGGATGCTTGCATGGGAGTAAAAATCAACATTCAAAAAACGAATTTCAACCCAGGTCATCTTCGTAAAGGATAATGCACCAAAATGCCTCAGACTTGAATTGTAAGAAGGAATCTTAACTTGAACTCAGAAATTAGGGAGACTTTTCTACAAACAGTATGTGTTTTTAACCACATAATATGTACATGATGGCAAAGGTATAGTGTTATGGAAAACAGAAAAATCTGAATGAGAAGGCAGAGACTCAGAGAGCTCAGCTATTCACAAGTCATGGGGATATTAATCTGCATTTATTGCCTTGGAGGTGAATAAAGTTGGACACTCATGGAAACAAAGTTTGAATTGAGAACAGGGAGAGAAGAATTGATGCTTTAGAATGGCTTGTTTGAGCAGTTATGGGATAGCAAAGGAGGCATACTATGAACTCAAGTCCCAGTGAGCAAGTTCTGAAACAAATCAGCTCTGGGATTCAGTTTAAAATTTTTTTTTTAATGCTAGAAAGAGGTAATATTTCATTGCTGAATCAGATACCACTAATCTCAATTATTTTACACTGTTTCTCTGATGAAGGGTAAGTGACTGGTGTGTGTGTATGCATTTGACCCACAGTCGCACAATGAATGACATTCAGTTTTCCACGTTCATCTTTTACCATACATTATTCTCTTCAGTGAGAAGTACCTCATGTTTTTACCATTGTGGGAATAGAAAATCCTTACAAATGTGTTGCTGAAGCATACTGCATGTTTTAATTAAACAGGTTCATCCACTAAGTTCCTATAATTTGTTAGTGCTACTGTCTTTCCTTCCCAACTCTCAGTTCAGGAGGTAAAAGATAAAGATGAAGTCAGTCCAGTGAAATGTGCTGAGCCTCAATTAAATTTCAGTGTTAATTCATTTGCTAACTTATTTCCAGCTTGAAGAACAATAGCTGTCATTCATCATCACTGTCATCATCACCATCCACTGCAACAAAAACAAACATTTGTGGATTGTCAACCATGAATATGCTTGGCACATCCTACTGGTCAGAGGGCAGTCCTTGGATAAATATTCTCAAGGCTTCAAGTTAGACATCTGGACCTATCGTGTACAGGCCTTGATGGGGAAAGATGTAACAACAGGACCAGAAGAGCCACTGCACATTTGCATGGCTGGAAAGGAGTGAGTATTTCACTGAAAGAAGAGCAATGTGATTCTACAGGGGTGGTTGGCGAGTGGCTGGGGACTGTGCATCCCTCACCATCCACCTTGCATTCATGAGAGGCTGAAATCCTAAATGCTGCTCATGCCAGGGATAGTGGAGGAATCCTAAAGTATGGCAGTGACTTAACTCTGAGTCACAAGGGGTCCAGGGTCCGGCATGCTTGAAATCCAGGCCAACCTGTAGCAACTGCCCTCCATCTATCCCTGTACCAAGAAAAAACATCACTACAGACTCTATTCACGGTGATTTCCTGTGCTAATTCTAATGAACATTCTCTTACCAAGCTCCTGTTTCCAGAAAAGGTAGGTCTGTGACTTGTCCCTATAAGCCCCTTTCAAAGCCATGTCCTCCTAGATGGAACTCTAAATCTGGTTGAAGACCTGGGAGGCAGAATACCCTTTCCTGTGGTGCCCACATGATCCCTCTAAAGACTGCAACTCAGAAGACTGAGGCTCACATGGCACACTCAGCTGAAGATGAGAGTAAGCTCCTCTTGAGGCAGGATAGGGAGGGCTCCTATCTGGTGAAGTCGTCAATCACAGGAAAGCTGGCCCAACAAAGAATGTGCTCTTGTATACCCAGGCCTTTAAAAATCCACAAGACAAGACAACTATTGAGCTGGCAAATAGGTAAAATTAAGTCCTCATCAATGCCACTTTACAGTTGGTTCTGACTCAGCACTCACTCCTAGGAGGATGGTGACAGGGCGATTTGAAGCACGATTAACAGTAGAAGATATTACTGATGTCTACTGGTGGTCATCTGGTAGATATTGGGAGATATCGACAAGTAAATAGTATATGTGAAAAAAAAGCTCCCATTCAGACAAAGGTGGTGTGCACTGTGTTCTCCTGTCTCAGCTAAGCCTCAGAAGTGCCTCTGTGTGGGGGCCTTGGGACATTGTATTAAGAGGTGCTTCTGGGCTCCAGTTTAGGAATATGGAACTCACCTATCTTTTTCCCACTCTATTCCAGTGAGCCATGCTTTGCACCCAGACCCTCAGGTCAGTGTCTGCTGAGGTGCTAGGCATGGTTGAAACACGTGGTGTTCTAGCCCCAGCATTAGAAGTGAACATTCTATGGCTCCTGTCCCCCAGACACGCACACCATGTAACAGGAAGCTTTCTCCTGCAATGAGACGACATGAGGATACAGGTGACCAAGGACCATTCCTGTCAAACTCTCGAGGACTTACATTTCAACCCATAGTCAGTTCCATCCACCCACTTTCATTCTAAGGAGACTCAAACCCCTCCCGTTTCATTGTTCCGGGACGTAGGAAGGGATAAACACCAATGCAGCCAAGATCCCTGAGGCTTGGCCAGGCAGTTCCAGACCTTGCTGTCAGGAAAATCTTGGGGCAGCTGGGAAGTGGGCGGGTTTAGGGTGAAAGGGTAGAAGGACACAAAAAAAGGTGAAGTCAATAGCTTCCTTCAGTTTTGCCGGAAGCAGCTGGAAATGACAAAGCTCCCTCCCAATCCTCCCTGGTTCCTCTCAGGTGGAGATGACCTGGAAACGCAAGTGCTGTCATTCCTGAGTTGTTTTTGCTCGGACCCAATTCTGTCTCTCAGTTCCTCCTATGTGGCTAGAGGTGAGGTTTGGAGGTCGGGTTTAGAGGACTGGTTGATGGGGTTTGAGATTATTTAAAACCAAACACACAGTGTTACAAGTTGGTTTTGTTTTGTGTTGAGGGGAGATTGTTTTTGGCTCATGGGGGTTTTCTTGCTTTTTTTCTGTGACAGTGACTTTCTGCTGCCTCCCAGAAATAATCGGGCCTAAAGTCTTCTCCCGACTAGGCTTGACCTTTGCCCACATTGTGTGGTGAGATGTTTGAGCACACACTGGACACTGGCAGCCCTGGCCAGGACCTCCTGAAGGCACTGGAAATGCAGTCCCTATCAGATGACCCTCACCTTGCCCCTGCCAGGGGATGGAGGAGGTCCCATGTCCTTTCTGTTTGTCATCTCGGCACTTGCCACCCCTCCACCCCAGGAGGGTTTAAGAGCCCATTCTCCCCCATTCCTCAAACCTGAGCTAGGAAGGCTGTGACCCCGCACCGCTGTAGAATGAGGTACCACACCAGGTGAAGAGGGACATGGAACACTTTTTAATGTCAAGTCAGAGACAACCCCACCCTCCCCGGTCCCCCAATCCCACTTTCCCTCATCACATCCAGGACCCCTCCCCGAAGACTCTCTGGTTCCCAGACTTTCAGGGGAGGGAAAAAAAAGATTACCTAAAAATTGCATTTTCTTCTCTTTCATACACACTCACACAAAGGTGGGAAATTAAATAAAATAAACCAAGAGGATTGAACTCTCCAGTGGTCACAAAGGCATCAGAGATTCCCATAATGGGCTAAAGCAAGTAGGTCCTGACGGTTCTCCTTGTTCAGTTGCTTGCTGCCTGTTAATGCCGCAGGGCAGGATGGAGAAGCGGGCCGCTGGGGGTGGCCTACGTGCAGGGCCACACCTGGAAAGATGCTGCGCCTGGTGTTAGTCGGGTTTTTTTCTCTTTTCACTTTTTATAACTGTCTCTGACATGTAAAGAACCCAAGAAAACAAAAAGGCAGGAGCTGATTACACAATTACCAGTAAACTCTATCATCTTTTAGAAGATCAACACACAGCTAACGCCATATACAGCATGCAGTAATGTCTGAGAAAGGACCCTGCGGAGAAATAAAATGGCTAGAACTCTAACAAAAAAAATATATGTATATATATACTGTATAATATATGTCATCAAAAGAAGCATAGCCAACAAACCCAAGATACAGTGCAGATCACCTTTCCATTTCTAAACAGTGTGTAGAGAGCATGGTATTGTCTGCATGAGATGCCAGAATCGGGAGGAATCTGTAGCGCTGGTGGAGATGTTGGTTAAATCAGATGTATTTTTGGTGGATATGCCAAATCCTCACCAGGTGATTAGTGCCTGGTGTGTGGTCCACCAGTTGTAAACCTAGTTAAGAAGAACACTATTCAATTCATTTTTACTGTTTAACAAACATACTTCTCTTCACCCTTTTCAGTTGTGTATTTTTTAGTTTTGTCTTGTTTTGCACTAAGTTCTAGACTCATATCAGAAAATATAATTAATAAAATTAATAATGAGTCAGAATCCCTTGTTATCCATGATGTCCATGTAGTAAAATGAGAAAAAAAAAAATGTTTAACGGTGTCTTTTTGTGACTGTTGTTTGTGGGATTGTTGTTGCTGTCGGACGGTCTTATTTTTTTTTCCTTTTTCTTTCTTTCTCTGTCTTTTTATTTCATGTTTCACAACACACACCGTGGTGGCACAGTCTACCAAAGTGCCCGCAGCGCCAAGCTTGGGCCGGAAGGTCTCACTCTGTTCGTCTCTATGGACTGGTTGAATGTGGGATGGCCAGCTCCAGAATGTTCCATGTGAGGGCACTCTGTGGGCAGAGCGACTGAGCCCTCACCCACACTGGCACCAGAGAGGTCACACGATGCAGCTTGCAGTGGGTCCAAGCCGGGTGTGCGTTCTTCCCATTTGGGAAAAGAAAGAGAACTCCGTTGTACCTAAATATCTGCAAGGCAATTTTCAATTTCTTTTTTTTTAAACTTTTTTCCCCCAAAGTATTCTTTGTTTCCCTCCCTCAAATTTCTGTCCCATGAGGCTGTGTTTCTTCTAATTTCATTTGAATATATCTGATTGGTTGCTGTCGGTGTTCCGTTCCTGTTGTGTCGGTGGTGGCGGTGGCAGCAGCCTTTCCCGGGTGGGGAAGTGGCATTCACATCAAAATTTGAGGAGTAGGTGCAAGACCAGAAGAGGCAGCAGCCAGACGCAGCCTGCCCTCCTCGACGTGCCGTTGCTCACCTCGCTGACGGCGCCCGGGCCTGTGGAGAGAACACACTCGCCGTGAGTGGCCTGGGAGAAAGTGGAAGGAAAGTCCGGCCAATGCCTGGTCAATCAGCCTTGCCCCTGGTGAGGTGTTGCCCCTGGTGAGGTGTCCCTCTAAGTGAAACACGCTGTTGTCATTTGGCCTTGCCTCTGGCGACGTGTCCCTCTAAGTGAAACACGTGGTGTTCCAGCCCTAGCATTACAAGTGAACGTTCTATGACTCTCCTCCCCCAGGCACACACACTAAGTAACAGGAAGCCTTCCCCAGCAAGCAGAGAATGTGAGACTCAGGTTAAAGTGTCCTGGGCCTTCTTCCTTACTGTGTCGTAGCATGCAAAGGCCATGGCTCAGGCTCAAATTCAAGAAGGCTGCAGACTCATTAATATCCTACACAGAGCTTTAATAAAGTCAGACTCCTGCACTGTGTGCCTCATCACCCATCCACTTCTGAGCACTGCCTGCCTGAAACACTCACCCACCCTCCAGCTGCTCGGCCTGTGGCTCCAACAATGTGTCTGCCTGCTGCTGCTGCTGCCTCAGGCACAGAGGCCATCCTGCCAATCACTCTATGTCAGGGCAGGGCACCAGGGTTCCACCTGGAGCACTTGACCTCTTTCCCCATCTGGATGGGGCAAGAGCAGATGCAGCTCAAGAATTACATGCCTGCGAGGCTGAAGCCAGCCCACGTGGATGGAGGTGAGATCAAAGAAACAGGAAACCTTCCTGTTCATGTGGATGTAAGTGGAGATTAATGAGGACACTGGGATGCACAACCTGCCTCAGTGTATGTCCTTCGGTGGGGAGGTGGGGGCACCTTTCCCTGTGAGGCACACACTGACATGGTCGGCAAAGAGATACTCTTTGAGATGGAGACAAACACAGAAGGTAAGAGAACTGCAAGGTGGTACAGCTCCCCAGCAGCTTCCCTACTGTTCTGAAACACATGCTTTCTGGCTACCTCAGCCCTTGTGGCCAAGAAACCAGATGACCAGTGGAGCTTCGGTTTCTGTAGGGTACGTAAGTTTGGATGACTAGATGAATTAGGTACCCAAGGAGCCAGGCCACCTTCTCAGACTGGACGTTCTCTGGCATGCTCTGTTGCATTCAATTTAGTAGAGGTATTTAAAGCTGGTGGCCTCACTAAGCCCATGTCCTCCTGGGGTTGGGAATAAGGAGGAAAGCCAGAACTTGCCTGCCTGACTTGGATCCTCAGCGTTGGAGACATTTCTGGCTAAAGCAATTCAAAATCAAAACAGGCTTCTTGATTCCATGTGGGATTATTCCATCATGTCTAGAACTCCCAGCCTGAAGGCACTGCCCATATGACTTTATGTCTTGGCCTTTTGGGATAAATCCCTACTTTAGGGGCAGTGGCTGAATAGGTAGCCACAAGATTGAAATGCAACAGGTCATCAACCTCATGTTTCCCTGGTGATTCCTAGTATCCCTAAGGCCAGACCTCCTCAGTGGTGCAGATCCCCATGCTGAGAAGCCCAGGGGATGCTTATTCTCCTCTTTACCCTGCAGAAAGGAGAAAACACCAAACCAAAGGCATCCATGCTGGGATACAGGTGACCAAGGAGCATTCCTGCAAAACCCCCGAGGACTTACATTTCAACCCAGACAGGCTAGTCATTTAGGATCAATCACTAACTGGTTGTGTCTTCTAGAATCTAAAAACACTGTGTCCACAAAACACATCAGCAGACACTCCCCCTTTGCAGCCGCTCATTCTGCCATCTACACAGCACAGTCTCTGGAATCAAAGGAGAGAAGCCTCCGCCCGATGCCTTCAAGGGTGAGATGAAGAGGAACAGCTCTCTGAAGAAGTCTGGCAACTCCAGGATTCTTTCCACCAAGGCCCTTGTCTGTGCCTGAGGCTGAGGACTCTAAGACGACAAGGGTGGCTCTGAGTCCACCTGACCCAGCGGGCCTTTGTGGAAGCCAGCTCTCACGTTTTGCCTCAGCAAGTCATTAGTCACATTCTACCTTCATACGCCTGCATCACACAGTGCAATGCCACACATGTCTTGCACACTGGCATGCTGAACTCCTGGCAGGACACACACCTGTCAGCACACTGCTCTGCGTCTTTCATCCCATTTGCTCTTCTGAACACCCACGCACATCTTTGAAATCCATTTTCCATTCAATTCCCGCACACCCTGCCTCCAGTCTCCTGTTCCCTGCCAATGGCTACGGAGATGCCCTGGGTATAAGAGATGGAAAACAAGTGCCACTTCCCTGCATTGAGATGTCCTCTCCTCTCTCCTTCTCTCCCTCCTTGCATGCTGACCAGCCAGTGGAAGCCTCCAGGGAGGAGAACGCCACAGCCAGGTGTTCAGCCCAGCAGGGTCCTGGCGTGGTTACCATGTAAGGAAACGCTGAAACCTTGTTTCCAGGGTGGGGACTCTGCAGCTCGGGGGAAGACTGAGAGAGGGCAAACATCCCTTGTGGCACATCTCAATGGCCCTGCAGCTATGCCAGGCACTCTCCCTGGGTGCCTGTGTTTGGTCTTCTTGCTACACCCCTCAGAGTTCTTTTGTGGTTCTGCTCCCTGCTGGGAAGCACTAGAGAATGCCTGTAGGGATGAGCCCTGGCCTGTTGTGTTAGAAAATTCTTCCTATGGAAGACAGAAAAAGGCCACCGAGCACCTGCCAGCCATTCTCTTGCTTGTAGTATATCTAGGAAAATCCCGAGAGGCCCCTCTGAATCTCTCCGTCTCCATCTCAGGCTGCTGAGGAGCTGGCACTGACTATGTGACCATATCCAGTCTGCCCGCCGCAGCCCACCCCACAGGTACATGCACTCGCCACCCCCCCGAACCGGTCTGTCTCTTCAGCACATCCAGGACACCTGACCTGGATGTTCACAAATTGAGCCTTGCCACCTGTGGCCTTGACCCCTGGAATTTATTCTTTATGCTCATTCCAGGGTGACGTTTCTGCTCCAAATCGATCACGTCCCTCATTTATTTGAGTCCAACAGTTTAACACCAAGCCCAACTTCTCATCGGAACGAGCACTAGATTTCGTGATGTGCCTGCAATCTGCACCTGTGGTGCCTCTTCTTGCCACAGCTAGTTCAGTGCCCTTGCCCCTTGCGACACAGCCACATGTGTGCACACAGGGGCGGGTCTTTTTTGCCCACTTTGACACACTACCCCCTTTGTCTGAAATGTTCCTCATGCATATCATTCTTCTTCATTTCAGCTCCTCTTCCAGCCTTCAGACACCTCTTCCAGGCAGCCTTCCCTGGCTTGCTCAGTGCCATAAAATACTTACCATCCAGTGTCATAATTCTCTTTGTCTACCTTATTTGTATTTCCTCCTTCTGTGTCGAACTTAATTGCATTTCCTCCTCTGTCCTCTGTGCAGTAAGCTCCTTAAGGGCAGAGTCTGTATCTCATTGGCCCATGGCAGGTATTCAACCAACATTAGATGAAAGAAGGAAGGGGCACTGCCATTCATACTGACATATCCACATTTATTTGCCTTTGTATTTTTCTTTTGCTTACGATTATACTTGAAGAAAACGAAACAAAAACTTTATTGTATGTTGCCCTCTTCCTTACCCAAATTTTCTCTTCCAAATATCTTTCCTCCCTGTTTCTAACTATATCCAGTACAAGTTACTGAGAATTCCTGTGGCTGAGTGGCTGTCTACACAGAAGCAAAGCCAAGTCAATTAGGATTTCAGACAGAGTGGTTGCATTTGGAAAGCTATCATAGCACCTTAATGACACTCATGTAGGAGATGAGAATTATTACCTCCCTTTCTAACATGTGGAAACTGAACTTCAGAGAGCTTAAGTGGCTTTCCCAAGTTTCTTGACTTCTGTTTTCAAATGCAACTAGCTTCCCACTATCTCAGAGATACATCTTCAGAGAATCAAGAGAAGAGAGTGTGGCCACACAGCCTGCTCCTCCTGGGTACAGGTTAAGGTGGGAACCACAGCTGTGCGCCTGGGTCCGGCAGTCGATCCCACACTGAATGAATGCTATGAGGAAGGCTTCCATGAGATGAAGACCTTAGGTCCAGGCGGGTGTGGATCACAGCACCCTGGGAGTGAGGCCCTCTCAGATCCAGTGCTGGCCGGAGCGACAGCTCAGCCCATCTGCCTAGTGACCTAGGCCATGCAGATGAGGCCTCTGTTCTTCATTCAGCCACGCCTCCACTCCACAGTGAATGCCTTTATTGCCTCTGTCTCATTAGAGAGCTGCAGAGGCCTAAAGAGACTAATTACCGGGACAGTTAGGGTCCCAGAGAACTGTGATGAGTGTCAATTATCCATCGGAAACATCTGGCAGGAATGAAAGCTTCAAATAAGATGCATTTTATTTGTAGCCAAGTGACTCACCCAAGAACCTCCCCCTTCCTCCCATCTGCCCCTCCCTCCCACCGCTTGCCTTCCAGCTCCAAGTTAGAGAGAGAGAAAGAACGATGTAAGCAAGGGCAGCATGCAGGGCCAAGGTCTGCGAACATCGCTGCATTAGAGCATCCATGTGAGGAAAGAGGCAGGCCTGTGCAGAGGAGCCCAGGCCTGGAGCTATTCTCAGCACTGACAGGTGCTCATTAGTGCTGCCAGCAAGGAGAAGTTAGGCTGCTGCAAGTGGGATCTACCCAGGAGGGATTGGAGGTCCTTGGGGATGGGGTTAATCTAAATTGACACAGAGATGGCCCAAGGTCCAGGTTCCCTCTGGGCTGCTTCCTGGAGTTAGCTCAGGAAAGAAGGCACGTGGAAAGAAGGTGAAGAGTTTTACATACCCCACACCCACCAAGGCAACAGCTCCCTGAAACATATACCAACCTTTCCAAGGGGTCAGGGCTGTAGTTTTCACTTCTAAAAGAAATTAAAAACAAGCCACTGTTAAGGTCGAAAGACGACAGAGACGCTCACTTTGCCATCAGAAGATTTCAGGAAGAAGCTGGTGCTCCCGGCGTAGGAGCTTCCCTGGGCCTCTTGCACACATCCCCTGCTGTCCTGACCACTGCCCAGCCCTCCTATGTGACCGCCCTCTGGTTTTCTGGTTTACTTGGGAAGCCAGGTGCCACAAGAGGTGAGCAGGTGGCTGGAGAAGGACCATGAATGACAGTCAGATTGGACCACAGATGGAAGCAGAGGCAAGATATCTGCCTGATTTTAGCAGGTGACACAGTTGCACCTTTGGGGCCTGAGGCACCAAACCAAAACTCCTTTGTAGAACAACTTTCTTTCTTTGGTCATCAGACTATCCTCTAATTTGTTGAAGCCTGTAGGCCTTAAGTATAAAGGTGACTGCACATATGGAATCATACTATAGCATTTGGAGGTAGGTGCTCATGCTGTGTTTGAAATGGAAAAGTTTGACTGGCATTTAGCCATGTGTTTAGAAACACTGGTGAGTAAGCTTCCATGTTCCGGAGGAGCCCAAACCACTGATATTGACTTTCCTTGAGGAGTTGGACAATACCAAGTCCCCACAAAGCCTCATCTCTCTGGGGCAGCCTGCAGCTGTAGGACCCACCCCTGTGCTGCTGCAGTCACACTTGCTGGGACCTCCCTGTAGAAATGCTGGGATGCTAGCCCCTTTCTGCTGCCTAGACTGTGAAAGATCTTTATTTCACCAGCTTCAACTGGCAGAACAACCTACAGAGTTTCTCTACCTTTTCTGTTGATAGTAGGTGCCTTGTTTGGCCTGAATTTAGAATGATCTCTAATCTCTTCCTACCCTCTTTGTTGCTCACCATGGATACAGAGATGGTGGAAAATGGCACTAAAGCTTTTTGCATCAAAGTGATACCTTGGGAGTCTATGTTCTCTGTGCAAAGGTCCTCACATACAGAAAGACAACCAAGATATAACTCATCCTAAAAGCAACTAAAACATTTGTTCAAAGTCAGATGAATACATACCTGTGCATTCAAGCCTTCAGTCTATTCTTTAAAGTCACCTGACATATGATATCCCTCTTGATTTAAGTGGCCATTAACGACCCTGAGAGGCTACCCTGAAGGTACAAAGAGGTAAAGGGTTTATCTACGATCAAAAGTTTTGTGATTGAGAAAATATCTGAAGTACAACAGGATGGTGGAGACAAGCCAGGGGTGAGGACGCCATGTTGCCTGTGCATTTAACAAGGACGGGCCCTTGAAGTCCTTGCTGGGCCCCAGAAACGAGTTCAGAAGCTAAGGAGGGGGAGGGGCTATTTTCACTAATTGTCTTATTTAGGTACCAGTGATTTTTGAGTCTCTCTGTGCCAAGGAAAAAAGATAACTGGAAGGAGGAAGGATGGACTGAAGACAGATTTGAGAAGATAAAGTAGTCGTAAAACTTTTACCCCCAAACCACAAGCAGTTTGGAGAAGGCTATCCAGGGAGTGATGGGAGTGCTGGTTCAGATTGTGCTGCAGGAGGGGCACAGGAAGAGCTTCCATCCGGCAGTTGGGACTATCAGAAAGAAGAATGCATTGAAAGCACACGTTCCTGCTGGAAATACCAGAAGTTTTCTATAAAGCAAAGACATGAAAAAAACTGCAACTTAATTATTCCATCCAGATGAGTATTTTGTTTTCCTCTTTCTCTGAATCTCCAACACACACTACTTGAAAGGTGGCCAACTCTTTTTAGTATCCATAGAAGTAAAGAACAATTTGATGCTCATCCTTGACTTTAGCTGGAACTCATCCAGGGGCTTTTCCAGGTAGCGAGGGTTCAAGGCTCCCAGTTAACGACAGCATCCTTCTGATCCCACTTGTACTCCACCACAATGCAGGGGAAATGCCAGGATATTTTGGTGTATACTCTAAGCTCATCATGCTCTCTCCAGTCCACCCCCCTTGCTTTGGTACTAAGGAGAAGGTGCATGTGCTGGCACTGTCCTCTGTGCTATGCTTGAGATGCTTCTGTCCAGGTGTGTGGTGTCCAGCTTCCAGAAGCAAGAGCCTTGCTTGAGCCACCAAAGCTAGTGCTGGCCACAAGCTCAAGTCTTTGAGTAACAGCTTGACTATCAGGAACATAAACAATCCCTGACAATTCAAGCATGTATTTTCCACACAAAGACCTTGACGGAAATGTAACTGATTTCTTTGTTAATGATGTATTAACAATAAGTCGGGGAGGGTGGGAAAATATGTTGCCAAGAAAGAAAGAAGGATGGAAGAAAGAAAGGGAGGGAGGAAGACAGGAAGAAAGAGAGGGAGGGAGGAAAGGGGAGAGGAGAAAAGAAAGGGAAAAAAGAAAAAAAACAACAGTAAAAAGAACCTTCCCACCCTATCTCCAAGTCAATATTCAATGCCTGCTCAATCCAGAAAGTTATATTTTCACCAGCAAAGCCAATTTAGCTGAATCTGAGTGCCCAGGTAAGCACAGGCTGTTGTCTTGCTCCAGTGGCCGGAGGAGGGCTGTTTTCATGTCAAGATGGGTATATAAACCTTCTGGCAAGAGGGTGAGGGAATTTTCTTTCTTTTGTCCTTTATATTGAGACACACACATACCACAGAAATGCTTAACTACTGGATGACCTGACCTAATTAACTGTCTTTAATCCTCTGCAGGGAAGAACTAATCATCTCTTCTGTTGCATATGTAGAGTTTCTGATATGTAAAGTTTACTTTGGTCCCCCATTCTTTAATAAATTGATTTGATGGTCACTGTGAGGTTCACAGACATTAATCAGCCAACCTTTCCCAGCCGACTGATAACATCAAATCTGACTTAATGCCTAGGAGATAAAAGACGAAGGGCCAGTGGGTGGAAAATGAACAACCACAGAGCCGCTGAGTTTGCACTGTAAACTCAGTTTCCTGTACAGAAGTTTGGTGAGGGATGGTGGAACATCCTTGAGTCCTTATTTATCACCGTAAGAGTCCTGCACCACCAAATATTAATAGGAGATGTGACACGCAATCTATTTTGTTTGCAAAAGGGAAGCAGAAAAATACTTCAATGGTGGCAGAAAATGCTGAGGAAGAATGAAATTCTCTTACCAAAATCCTTCTACTCCATCCAGTTATTGGGTAGCAAAATAGCTTTGAACTTCTCTTAAAGCCAAGTGTACTCTGTCAGTGGAAACCCATGCGTTTATATAAATCTTTCCTGGTATTTCTGAGGTAAGCTGAGTAAAACTTGGAGGGTATTTCCTGAGAAGATACATAGCTCTCTATTGCAATGAGGACTAGCAAAGGAGTGGAAGAATGAACACAGATGAGTGCGGTAAATGAGCCCAGGTGCAAGAGCTGTTTTCTCTAAAATATTTCCCACTGTACGAGGATCCAGCACCTATAATAAAGGCTGTACTAATCCAACCGTCAGAGCATTTTAGATGTCCACAGCCTCCTTCCCTGACCCGCTCTCATACGCCCAAGAAGGTTGCTGAGCTGAGTTGAGCACATCCAAAGAATCAGAGTAGCAAGTTGGCACAGAGAACCTTTCACTGAGACTCATCAGTTCACAAGGGAGAAGTGAGCAGTCCAGCTTTTTCTCAGCAGATGGGGTCTAATAAAAATGTCTCCTGCCCCTTGCCCCATGCTCAGTGACCAGGCAAAGTGACCTCTTTGGTTTAGTTGGTGTTTCTGGTTGATTTTCCCATGGTTGACTTTGATATGGGAAGATGTTCTCTCTGTGAGCTGAGTGCACCTTCCATTAAATACCATCTTGTTAAAAACCCCTGCCAGAGTTTCAAAGGCTCCAGTTTCCTCTGAGAATGAAGATCTCAGGGGTCGGAATTAGCTCAGTCCTTCCAAAAGCATAGCCATAGCAATGCATGTCCACTCTCCAGGCTCTCTCACTTCCCTGGTGCTATATGCTAGCCACTTTTCTACTGCTCTCTATTTTATGTTTGTGAATACACTCACATGGAGGTTCAGCGAACACAAGTTGAATCATAGGTTGAATCTGAGTAAGTCCATTGACTTCACGTTTCCTTTCTATTTGTTTGATTTTCTTGCTCGTGGCTCATCGCTGTGGTGCTATACATCACTAAGGTGAGGAATGCAGCCCTCACTCTTTCCATGATAAGGTACTTTTCCTCATCTGTCAAGCAGCTTCCCATGTAATGCATTTCTTTTCATCTCCCAGGCCACCTCTGAAGTCTACAGCCATCCTCCGATGACTGTTTGCAAAGCCAGAATGTGAGTAAATGAACAGGGTGGTGTGGGGTGAGGTGGGAGAGGAGGTCAGGGGACTGGGGTGGAAGGTGGGAGAAGCATTCACCTCCCTGGTTTCGCAGCTGCCTTCCTGCAAGGCTAGTGCTGCGGTCAGCACTGTCCTCAGGGTGAGAGCAGTGCACTTGCTTGGATGCTTAGTCATAGTCTTAATGAGTCACTTACTCTAGGTCACTGGAAAAATTGGAAGGGATGTGCAAAGGCAGGGAAGAGATGCAGGAGGTATTTGCAGGGGAGGGCTGGAAGTGGAAGAGGAGGTAAAGGGACAGTGGAGAAGGGGCTGATGAGAAATGAGTGAAGGACCCTGATGGTGTTCTGTGGAGGGGCGTCCTTGCCTTTCAGTTTAGGTATGGAGATTCAACATGCACCTCACACAGTGTTCAAAGCCTTTGTAATATGCACTCTCCACTGACTGTTGGGACAAGTCTGTAAGGTGGATAAAGCACATCAACTGTATTGTATAGAGGAGGAAACTGAGCTAAAGAAGGCTTAGTGACTTGCCCAAGACCAAAGAACCACTAAACGCCAGGCCCCCAACTAGACCTCAGTGGCATCCCCTGGAAATCATTGAGTATTGGCAGCCACTCCTGCAGCGCCATGCGCATCTTCTTCCCTTGGAGAACTTCAGGAGCCAGTTGATACATTGGACAGAATATCTGAATCATAGTGTGCTTGCTGTCTGATTCTGCTGCTGAGGGGCCATCAGTAAGATCCTTGTTATGAAACCTGCTCAGCTGGTTGAAGTAGTCTTTCTACGAGTCCCAGACTGACTCTCTACCTTGTGCCTTTGTGCTGATCTCTGGGCTTTGAGATTTTAACGATACTTTTCCTTCTACCTCCCAGCCCTCCTGGGGGAGTGTGAGCAAAGGGAGTGTGTGCTCATCTTCCTAGGGATGAGCAGAGCTAAGGGAGCTTGAAGTCTCCCTGGCTCCCAATCACCTCCTTCAATAGCCTTCCACTGCCACTTTACAGACAGGAGCTTTAGGTAATGCACAGCAGGGGAAAGGGAGTGGGGAAGGCGGGCTCTGGGGTACAGGGAAGGGGAGACAAAACACAAAGCAAGGAGGATACTGACCTTGCAACAAAGTTGAGCTCGTAGGCTCATTTAGTTCTAAATCGGTTGAAGGACACACAGGAGAGAAAAATGAGAACAAACACATAGATTATATACAGTGCTATATATTTGTAATATATAGTTTGTATACTGCTTTCACAGACATTTCTGGGGAATGTATAATAAAAGGAAGACAGAGACCGAAGGCGGTAGGACAAGGTGTGGCGAGAGAAAAGCTGACGTGCTTTATGTTTCCATACTGAATGCCATGGCTGGGGTGGGAGGGAGCTGGCCACATCGTATGTTTTCTGGTGCAGTTGGATTCATTCATTTGTGCTGAGCCAGGCCACCAATTGGATAACAAAGGACTAAAGTTTGTTTCCAGATGAGACTTATTTCCCACTTCCCCGCCTCCATTGTTTCATCTTGGGACACCACGTTCAGGAATCTGCCCCGGGCACCATGGTAGGAACAAGCCCCCCAGAGCACTGTGATTCAGGAGTGTGGGAGCAGAACTCTCAGAGGCCCCTGCAAGCCCTGAAACCTTAGAGTGCTTGTGATGGGAAGGACCAAACTGCTCCTGTTTGGCTTAAGGATCCCCAGACCGCTGGACTACGGTCTCTTGCAACAGAATTCCTCACTTCCCAATGTCTAGGCCATATGCAGACAGCGTGCAGTTTATGCGCAAGTCGGTGGCAAAATGATAATTTTTCTGGCTTTCTGTAATGCCACAGGAGAATCAACTTCATCAAGAAGTCTGTAATTCACACAAAGTAAATGCTGCTTTCCAACCTGCCCCAAGTGCGCTTGCTGGCTTTTAATGGAAACTGACAAGGAAAATTCCCTAATAAATTCATATTTGTCAAAAGACCTCATTGATGGTGATCCTCAGTAATGAACCTAGGAGCCACAATAACATCCGAACCATTGGCTGCAAATACTCATCTCACTCTGGAATGGGGGTTGCGAGCTCTGCAGAACTATGCTACCCGGGAAGCATTTCTTGCGACGGGCTCCTCAGGAATGATGTCTCAACTGAGGCTAAAAAATTTAATTGGTTTCTGATTGAAACATACTGCAAACTTTTTCTCCTTAGAGATTTAGCATGTCAAGGCTCTGAGACTTCTGGCATTAAAGGACATCCCCACATGTACCCTATTCATCTTGGTTTGCCCCAGTCTTTCTAAACACATTTGAATATATACTATTACTGTTTCATGTCCTTTTTAGAAAACCCTGAACTCCTGAGAGCTGGCAGGGGTAGAAACGTCCCAAAGGAAGCACAGGGCAGATGCTGACAGACCCATAGGGCAGAGGGTCCCAAGAAGTAGACGTTGTAATTGCTACACGTGCATCTGCTGAAAAGAGCATATTTATGACCCACGCTTCGCTGCTTTCCTTGTCATAAATGCCATCTATTTAACTCTTAAGAGAAATGTTTGCTGCTTCTCCCTATTCTCATCCTGAGATGACTTAAGGGGAAGAAGCTGGGGAAGTAGACAGTCCTGATAAAGCCTGCAGCTGAACCATCTCCCGCAACCAAGTCAGGAGAGAGTAGTCAAGGGGCGGGGGGAAGATGACCCCTGTAAGGATCAGGACTGCTGTGGCCACAGAGCAGGACTTGGGGAGGGGTTAATGGGAAACTGAGGGGGAGCCTTAGATTTGCAAGGCAAGGGAAGGAAGGGTCTGTTCCTTCCTAATCCTGGTCTCTGTTCACGCAGAGAGGCACCTGCCAAAAAGGCAAAAAGCCCTGACAAATGTGAGGGGCACTTATGGTCACCACTGCGTGAGATGCCAGACAGATCAATCACTGGAATCACAGCCCTGCCCATCCTGAGCCACTGGCTTGGGGATCGAGGGTGGCTTTCTCCTTTCCAACCCTCTCAGATAAAGCTGGGCTTTATTATTTGTGCCGGGTAGAATGTGGGAGGATGTAATAGGGAAGCAGCGATCGTGTGGTGAAGCAGGGCAGGCTGGTGAATCGGAGCAAGCCATATACGCTGCCACCGGGGGCACATGGCTGGGCTATGCGATTATCCCCAAAGTTCTCAGAATATAAGGAAGTTGTGTTCTTGCCAGTTATCTGTCAAATGCCTCCCCTTACTTCCCCATCACATTCAAGAGTGCTGTTAACTGGGGAAACAGATCTGAAAAATCTCAAGCTCAAGAAACTTGACGGGGTATGAAGAAATTTGCCTGAAAGCCAACCGGAATTTAATCCTGTGGCCTGTACGGAGGCTCTGCATTCAAGGGATGGAGCCACGATGAGATGCCTGGAGCCCTGCCTGGTGGCACCATCAGGAAGGCAGGCTCACGTGTGCACAGCTCTCTGCTCGCAGGGGCAGGCATCGGGTTTACAAGGAAGCTCACTCATTTGCTTCTGCTATCAATACAGTAGCCAGATACATGATGAAGGTGGGGCTCTTCACATCCCAGTGACTGGAAACAGTTTCAGAAGAGGGAACATTTTACACTAAGCCAGTGAGCAAAGACTGAAATAGTAAACGTTACCCTCTGAGCTCTTGACTATTTTACCTAATTATGATTCCCACTGTCAGTTTAGGAGGCATCACTGAGGAAAAAAAATCAAATGACATTTTTGGCATTCCAGAGTCTTTTTCTCCTTCTCAGGATCTTTTTCATTATAGAATGAACACGAACATTCTTTTTCGTTTTTCTTCTCCCACTTCTGATATGTACACATGTATTATGCATACACTACTTTGTAAACACACTGTCTCTCTGTCTCTGTCTCTCTTGTTCTGTCTCTTTCTGTCTCTCTCTGCCTACTCCTTGTGTCTATCTCTGTCTCTGTCTCTCCTGTCTCCCTCTCTCTTCCTCTATTTTGTTCTCTTTGTCTCTCTCTCTCTTTTTTCTCCCTCTCCTCATCCACTGCTGTCCTGCTAACTTCTGACCATGACCTTGAGGGGCCCTCCCACCCAGTTCTCCCATTCTGCACCCTCTCCCCTCTTCTTGCCCAGCTCAGAGCACAGTCTCACCAAATAGCATGATGCTGGCATTGGTGTGGCCCAGCTTGTTGGAGGCCACGCAAGTGTAGTTCCCATAGTCATGTTCAGAGACATTGAAGAAGATGAGTTTTGAGAGGAAAGGTCTGTTTTCCACTTTCACCCCTTTCTTTCCTTCAATCAGTCTGAGGGAAACAAAAGACAAAAAAAAAAAAAAAAAAAAAAAAAAAAAAAAAAAAAAAAAAAAAAAAAAAAAAAAAAAAAAAGACAAAAAAAAAAAAAAAAGAAGAAGAAAACAAGATGGTTATATGTCCTCATAGGATAGGGCTCATAAGATAGGCCTGGGGATTTGTGATCTTCTCCTTGCCTGCCTTCTGACATCATTATAACCACTGTTTGATGCACTCAGCCACACCATAACATAGCAGTAGTTCATAGACAGTGACACGTGTTTCTTGATTTTCACATATGGGCCCAGGGACACTCTTGCCAGAACATCTGATCTCCCTAGCCTCTCATTCTTGCTTTGTACCCTGTCAGCCACACCACAACAAATACCCCCTCCCAGCTGTGTGTCATTCAGAGCAAGATGATTCACACAGTAGGTGCTCGAAAAGGTGGACTTGATGGTGATGGTGGTGATGACAAGTGTGCAAATGAAAACCTCAAACTTCCGAGAGAAGAGCGACTTCAGGAATTCGAATGAAAAATGTTTCTCAAGCACCTGGGTAATCTAATTTCTCCTTAAGCACCGGAGGCATCGTCTAGATAATATTTAATTTTTTGGCTATGAAGAGGAGAAAATCATCATTTACTCACCAGGGGATCATGAAGGGCTTGGAATGAGTGATCTGCCCAGACTATTATAGAGGATTAGTTTGGAGGGATTAGTGATTCCTAAGAATATGTCCCTCTAGAGGCAGGAAAGTCTCTCTGATCGCCACAATAGCAGCCCAGTAAGCCACAAGGACTTGTGTTGGTCTAGGGGCCACTAAAGAAATGCCACAGGGAGTTAGTGGGGGGAAGTAAGGTATGCTTATTACAGCCATGGATTCTATTACTGGGCAGATAAAAGGGTAAGGAGAAAGCTGCTGTCAGAGTCGGTAGGCACGTGTCCTCCTTCTCAGGAGGTTGTTAACAGCAATTCCTCTAACAATCATGGGCACCACCTACCTTCCTCTGCAAGATTTTGAAATGCCCATTTCTTAGAATGAGCTTTAAGCCAATCCTTTACTTTCCCTGAAACGATTTGTAATCCTTGCCCTGAAGCTGATTCTGTGCTATGGGAAAGATGAATACTCTCAAGGCAAAAATCCTTTCTAATGAAGGATCTCAGGGAATAAGGACACAAAGCTAAGTGTCCTGTCTAGGACCTGGCTGGAGCTCACCTTGTAGCAAGCAGGCAATGTCATGGTGGGAGCATACTGAAACAGACTCAGGGGACACGCTTAGGGACAAATGGATGCTTACTGGAGTCTTGAAACTGAGAAAAACAATGCTCAAGGCAGAAAGAGAAAGTGAAGACCAGCAAGACGATGATGAGGAAATGCTTTGCAGACCACACAATGGTATTCAGTGTAATGTATTTCTATGGAGGGAGACATAGATGACTCTTGCCCATCCCTGGGTCACAGCATGTTTTTGGCATAGAGGGCAGCTGCTTTGTCATTATCTGAAGACCTGCCTCTGTGGAATTACAGAATAATTTTCTCCACTCCTGCAACTTACAGTAACTTTGATCAGAAAAAAGAGGCCGGTTCTGGCTGGAGCTCTAACCCAACATCTGCCTCCAGGGAAGTCAGAAGATAGGTTGGATGGACTTGCCTTGCTTTTCATTATGTAGATGTTCCTCCGGGAGCCTTCCTCTCCAAAAGCTAGGGGCAATGAACTGGCCTGAGTCCATGACTTCATTAAAATGCTAGCACTGTCCAAATGGAATGAGGCATCCGGCTGTGCAGCCAGAGGCCACTTTTCCATTTCAGCTTGTTATGCACATATTGATCCTCTAGGGGGTGCTGTCCATACCTCCCACCAGGAGAATTCCGTGAGCAAGTCAGGCTGATTGATCCCACGGGCCATTTTGACACCATTCCTCCACCATGGGGAGGAAGCCTTCCCTTCATAACCAAACTGTGAATGAGATTTCAGCTCTGCAGTGGGGAGAGACTTAACAGGAAGCAGGTTGCTGCTTGACAGCTCTGAAATGTCTTTAGCTAAAAACAGCGCAGGGGGGCAGCAGCACTTTGCAGCTCCTGGGAGGACACACTTTCCCCTCCTCTGTGCCAGCACACATCCCTCCATCCTGCACTGCTTCCAGGCCTCAGTTTCTTACGAAAGCTGTGGGATTCTCATTGGCCAATGCCCCTGTTGGATGGGTGGCCTTCCTTAAGCATAGCATTCCATTCCTCTTTCTTTCTTTGATGGCACATAACAGCACGCAGTTGAGTGGTGCTAGCATGTGGCTAAAAGACTTCTCACCTAACGCTTGAGAAAGCAGCTGTCCTCACCACACAGTTTCCTTTAATCTGCCTTGGAAGTCTACTCATCTCACTGGAAACAGGAGAGGGGCTAGAGCTGGCCTTGGTCTTCCCCCAGGGCAGATACAATATGCCTTGGGAAACCTGCGTGGTAGACCCAAGGGGCTGTGACCAGGACCTCAGAGGCAGGGATGCTCAGGCTGGGCTGGGTGCCAGGAGGAAAGACAGCCTGTCTCATGGCAGCATGTTGGAAAATAATAAATACGTGATCATCAAATGGAAAACTGACGTAACTAAATGGAAAGGAAAGAAAAGGAGAGGCCATCAGAAGAACCGAAAGGCAGGAACAAAGCTACCTGAACCAGGGGCCTCTAAAAACCATCCCTGGCCCTTTCAGATGGCTCTCTCCTCCTGGGTGCATGGTGGCAGGCACGGCTGTCCCTATGGTGAACCCAGATGCTGCACAGAAGCATCTTTTTTACTCGCCATTGGCCACTTTTGCTTTATTTTCCTCCAAGATGTTGCTTTCTCTTATGTTTTGTTTCTATTTTTCTCCAATAAAGAATTAGAATAATAGGACGCAGCTGACGACTTTTTCTGAACCCCTAGACAATTGAAGGTTTGAGAACTGACCCCACAGCTCAGTAGGTTTTTGGTTTGGTTTGGTTCAGTCATTAATTTTTATGCCTCAGTTTACTTCTTAGTACAAGGGAATGGATAGGTGAAACAGAATTCTAAGTCAGGTAACCACATTGATCAGCAAAACACACTCCATTCTGCTTAATTCATCTTTCTTGGAAAAAGGGGGAACACCAGCTCTATTTCTTCTTTTTCTTTGTGAGTTTGTTTTTCCTCTTTCTGTCTTAGTTTTTTCATCTGTAAAATGGACCACATAAATATAGTACACCTCACTAGAAGCTGCCAGAATATGTCCTTAAAGATTAAAAAAAAAAAAAAAAACCACTGCTTTTCATTTGGGGGGGATTATGGTAAGACACAGTGAATCTTACAACTGATTGACATGGTTCTAAACAAAACTCAGTTTTCAATCTAGAGGCTAGAAAGGCTTGGTGTCTGACTGACCTCATAAGGAAAGAAAGCCAAGGCTGGCTGAAGATGTGCGCACGGCGCAGGCAGCCATCCACTGGCCCCTGGCCCGTGGTTTCTCATGCTGCTCTCCTTCTCAGAATGCCCTCTTCGTTGTTTTTCCTTCTCAGCTTCCTGGCCTCCCTCACTCGTTCCTCCTACTCCTCCCAACATACACCTCAGGACCCTTTTGCATCCCCGGTCCCACCACCTCTTTTTAAGTGAACATGTTCTGAATACCGGCAGCTCTCCCACATTTCCCATTGTTCATCAGCCCTTAAAATGGCTCTTTGATAACAGCCATTGCCGCAGCGCCTGGCTGTACTGAGATAGTGATCCCTGCACTGACATGCCATTTGATAACGCCTCGAAATGATCATCTTCAGTGACTCACAACAAATATCCCGACAAGGGCTGTGACAATGGGAAGGAGGGGAATAGTCCCCTCTCTTTTCTCCTGCAGTAGAAGAACAACTTGGGCACAAAGCGAGGGCTAAATTGGGTCATGGACTCTTACACACCGCTACTGATAGTGTTTGGAACAGATGGGGAGACCTGCTAGCTGCAGCTAACTTCTTAGCCACTCCCAGGGCCCCATGAGCCTTCCTAGCTCCTTCATGCAAGCCTTAGAATGTAGCAAAAATAGCTTCAGGCAGAACACATTATGTTCTTGGCCTATAAAAAATTCACAGGCCTTACAATGCTCCTGGTGGCCTTTCTCTTGCGATTTTGTTTTTCTAAAAAAAATATTACCTTTCAGGTCTGTTGGTTGGCCAGTGACAATTCTGCATGATGACATTAAAAACGTCGCTGAAATCCATTAATGTTAAGAAAAGACTTGTTTGCATATTTGCCCCCTATACGCAAACAAGTCTTTTCTTAACATTACTGGGTTCATATTAAGAGGAGACATTCAAAGAGGATTTTATAGAATTCGTTTGAAACCATCTGGAATCAGGACCCTGGAAGAGTTTCTTCTTCTGAGGATCTGGGTGGGAGTGGGAGGGAGAAAGAAGGAAGCTTTACCTTTTGTCATCCTTGTACCACTGGAATTCTGCTGAGGGGACTGCTGACGCTTCACACTGCAGTGTCCCCTTTTGTCCCACGGGGACACCCGTACCCTTGGCTTCTGAAATGTATGGTGGATCTGCAGAGAAAAGATGTCTCATAGTATTTTTTTTTTTTTTTGAGATGGAGTCTCCTTCTTATTGCCCAGACTGGAATGCAGTGGCATGATCTTGGCTCACTGCAGCTTCTGCCTCCTGGGTTCAAGCGATTCTTCTGCCTCAGCTTCCCAAGTAGTTGGGATTACAGGTGCATAGCACCACACTTAGCTAATTTTTGTATTTTTAGCAGAGATGGATTTTCGCCATGTTGGCCAGGCTCATCTCGAACTTCTGACCTTAGATGATCTGCCCACCTCAGCCTCCAAAAGTGCTGGGATTACAGGTCACCACGCCCAACCTATAGCATTTTATAATGCATTTTAAAATGAGGACGGCTGCTTCATTTGTTGATTTTATTTCTCATTCTCCGTCCCAGCTCTGCTTACTTAGATGGTAAAATTGCTATAAAAATTGTACCAGAGAATGAAAGCATTTTTGATGCCGCTCTAGGGAAAAGCTGGGTCTTCCTAGCATGTACTGCTTTCGTTCTCCTCTGTACAGAGTTGAAATGACCATGTGCTCATGCATATTTTCTCTTTAAACTTTTTAACTTTCTTAGGATGATGGCAGCCCATCAACCCTACACTTCATGGGTTGACAGTCAGCACCTTTAATCAGCCTTCTAGAATTTCTGCACACCAGGTTCTTGCCAAAAGTATATAACCTTGAACTATTCCATTTCCATCAAAAGATCAATTGCAAGAAATAATATTCAAGGAAAATTGCCTGAAGGATATACAGATCCATCATTCTTGGTATTCTGAAACAGATCCCTGAATCAAGCCAGACCAGGTGACCAAACTAGACCTAAGCACTTGGTCTGCATTCATTTGAAGTCTTTGCCAAACTACCCTTAATGTTCTAACAGTTTATATTGCAGGGCATTATGAAAAACAGCCACAATAAGCTTGCTATTCCATTTAATGCAGAAATTTTGTATATGATGCTGCTGACTCTATCTCAAAGTGCTCTATTTGTGGAGACCCTGAAGAGAATTTTCTCCAGGATCTCAGTACCAGGGAAGGCAGTGTTTCTCCCAAGCAACCAATTTGCCTTTATCTTAGAGACAACACAAATCTTAAAGCAAGTGATATTTCCCTCTTTACTTTAGCAAGTCTAAGCCAAATTCTGCACCTGCACCTAGCAGTCTTGTGGTAATATTTCACGTGCTGGGGTTTTCCTAGCTTTCACTCATTTTCCTAAGTATATTTTTTCTTTCCTTCTGTTTCTTTATGTTTTAGGTTCATCTTTATAAACTGCAAATCATCTTAAGCCCCTTTCTAAAAAACGGTGATATGATTTTTTAAATGACATTCTTTTAATACTTTAAGTTCTGGGGTACATGTGCAGAATGTGCAGGTTTGTTACATAGGTACACATGTGCCATGGTGGTTTGCTGTACCCCTTATACATTAGGTATTTCTTTTATACCTATTGTCTTGCTCTTAAACTGCTTTATATTGAATGGGTTCACATGTGACACAAACCTAAATCTTAAAGACTGGATATTCTCCTGGATACAATATTCTTCTTCTAACTCCACCCCGCCCAAGTTTTGAGGGAAAAGTCATCTCATTTGCTGATTTAGTTATTGAGTTCTGTTTCTTCATAAGTCTTCCTGGAATGTGCACAGCAGAGAAAATCTTCGGAATGTTGAAAGGAGCTAAGTCAAGGTACATAATGAAGAAGCAGGAAGCCAGAGGGAAAAGACTGAAAGGACATAGGAAATTCACATAGGACTGATGTCAGAGAGCATCTGGAAGGCTGAGAAGGGAGAATGAGGGCTCCACACGGGCCTTCCCAACTTTTTGGATGCTGTACCTGTATTAGTAACAAGCAAATTTGTTGATACATCCTCTAAGATCTATATCAGAGCTATTTGCATGTATACCATGCACACCTATAATTATAAAATAATGAGATACAATAAACGTACCATAAATGAAAGTTCTAAACTTCCTTTATACACTCTAGCACACGGTTTCTTGTCCCATTATGGAGAGGCCTGGTATAGACAGTGAGCGGCTCCAGCACTGCTGCATTGTGTGAGTAAATTACAGGAAAATTTTGGATTTGAAGACATGTTTATATAAATTATGCACTGAATGCCATTTAAGGATCTCCCAGCCCTGTAAGTCAAGTTTGGTATTCAGTTACTTTCAGCTGCTTTTTTTTTTTAATGTGACACTGTGACACCTTGAGATGTCAAAAACTAGACTTTGAAATGGCTGATCCTGAAAGCAGAGCATGGAAAGGGATGCTGCATTCCTTCCAACTCGAAGTCAGCAGCTGGCTGTGCCGATAGGCTCTGTGTGGTGGCCGTGACGACAGGCCAGCCTTGTGCACATGTGGGGTGGGCAGTGGCGGGAACACTTACAGTTCACGGTGACCTTTACTCTCCGTACCACGGGCGCGGCCACGTCATTGGAGGCACTGCACTCGTAGTCCCCTGACTGCTCCCGGGTGATGCCCTGAATTTCCAAGTATTCATCTTCACTCACAAAGCCAACAGCTGCAGGAAAAGAAGTAATGTGTGGTGAAATAGAAGGCAAAAAGACCAACCCATATTAACCTAAAAAACAAAGTATAAAATGGTTATGTCTGCAGAGAATTGTGCCACTTGTAAGCTCTGATTCTGAGGAACTGCGTGGTTCCTCCCGCCTCCGTCTCTTCCACACCTCTGCACCACCAACTTGTCCTTGGCTCCCCACTGGAACCGCTGAAATGTTTGTGTTCCAAACTGAACCAAGCACAGCGCCTAGAGAATTACTGGTCCCCAGTAAGTGATTAATAATTTTGATATTTATACTGCCTGTATTTTACCAAGCAATCGTGCTCTGGGATCTGAGTTAGGTAACTTAATTCTTTCTGATTTCAAGGTATCACTTAGACTGAGTCTTGAATATAAATTTGATGACTGCATCCTTGAGCATGAATTAATTAAAAATGCCACACCAGCAGCTACACACACACACATACATACACACACACACACACACACACACACAGATGTACCACAAAGGCAGTGGAAATAGTAACATAATAAATTTAACTTTCTGGTTTTTTGACTCAGACAATTAATTGGATAGGCAGAAATCAATGTGCTAAACTTCGACCTGCTGGAGCTCCCAGGTACAAGATCCTAAAGACAGAGTAGCCATGGGACTCTGCATTTGATGCCTAACTGTAAGCCTTGTCAGAAATGTGTCAGGTGACATGGCTGTGAATCCACTCAGCCCTGTCATCATTGCAGGACTTCCTGTCTTTAGGGAAAAATTATGAGCAATAATAACAACTCTCCACTTACCAGACTCCGTTCCGGATGTCTGCCGTGAGCACTCAGTGATAGAAAGACCAAGATATTTAAGGCTAGAGGAGATTTCAAAGTTCTCTCCCAGAGACACCTGAGCCTTAGCTTCCTTGCCAAAAGACAATGAAAAACAAAAGTAATGGCTTACATCCCAAGTTATCCTCCCTTATCTCTTAAATGCGGGTAATTCAGATGACAGCATCATAAACCTGGATACCTCTAAGAGGCAAAGAGGTGCCAGAAGCGATTATTAGCAGGCAACAAGCATAAGTTAACACTGTCTCTAGCAATTGAGAAGCATTTTCCTAAACATAATACATATATAATCCTAACATCTCACAGGGTCACAGGGCTATTTAGGCTAACACACAAATATGCATATATACACACGTATACACTCACATACACATATGAAAGCACTCTGAAACTCCTGTGTGCTGCACACTTGTTGATTTAGCTATTAATCCTATAATCTGCATGGAGACACAGCTTCAGGCAGTGTGGGACTGTAGGAACATGAGTGGCCTAAGAAAGGGAACAAAGGACCAATTTTCCCCAGGTCACAAAAACTTTCTGTAATGCCACATGTTTCTGCGGGCTCAGATCATGAAAACAATAGCCATAAGAAACCAATACAGCAAGGGATGACGTGTACGGTCTGTAAGGGATGACTGTTATTTATTCCATGACAGTGCTGAAGTAACTCTTTTGTCAAGGTAACCACAATAACAGTAGCAACAACAGTAAGACCATGGTCTTGTAAAGAGGGGCCACTGCCTCGTTCCACTCGATCAGCACTGTTTGGCCATGATCAGTCTGTGCCACTGCTCAACAGTAGGACCAAATGGAGCCTCGCCTCATACATCCTCAGGCCATATGCAACCTACACTATGTATATACGAAGCTTTCTTGCCTCTGTTACGTAGAGAAGAGGAAAAGAACAACCTAAGTCCATTATAACAAACAAGAAATAGTTATTAAATTCACAAGACAAAGAACCTGTTCATAAGTAGAAAACATGGTCCAAAAGACCAGGATATGGAGAGGACAAACAATATTAACCCAAATAGACTCATAGTTCCTACCAGTAAGACACGTCTAATGGTCTCAGTAGCCTTTATTAATATTGTTTGATAACTGTCTTCAGGGCAAAGGTACTAACCTTGATTTGAGGATGGGTGGGAGAATTGAGAAGCACTTTAAATGAAGAATCTGTAATTCCTCTTGTGTTGTCCTTGTTTATTTGCTACCAACCACGGGCTTACATTTGTCAGACCTTTCCCTGCCACAATGCTATAATTACTGTGCCAAGCATCTCGGAGACCAGTGTCACACTTAATATTCCCATTAATTTTAAATGGCAGTCCTTGGTACATATGTGTGGCAATTGGTGTCATATTTTAATTAGGCTTGCCCTACACCATCTGAAATTAATAATAGCTCGAATTACCAGTGTAATTTATAAATTAACAGTGCTGCGGCATTAGGAAATAAATTAGCTCTGGACAGCTGTTTCTGGATTGAGCTCCAGGGTCGAGCAGTGACTGGTAGGACCTCAGGTCTCCTGAGAGGCTGTGTAGTACTTCACCAAAGCAGGGAAACAAACAAAAAGACACAGGTTCTCTGGATCTCTTGTGCTCTTCAGCTAAAGTTCATGCCTCTGTTTTAATTCCATAATTCAAATTTGCTCTTCTGTGGCCACAGTGAGGCTTGCAGGCGCCAACCTGTCATATGGAGATCCAAATGGAAAGGCCTGTTGGGGGCATGACAGTCCTAGACTGAAATGCAGGTACACAGATATTAAGGCAGTCAACATCAAGAACTTATCAGGGTTTCTGCAGGGACATGGGTGCATTAATGTATGTGTAGTTTTGTGTATTTATGTCAGGTGATCTTGTGTAGGAAAGGAAGTTGGATGGCTCAAGTTTTGGGGAAGGCATATGGTCTCCACTGATCCAGATTTCTAATTCCAGAGGAAGGAGATTTTTTTTCCTGAAGTCCTCCTGCAAGAACATTGAGGCTTAATCCTACCATCCTACATTCCCTGGACCAAATGTGCCATCATAGAGAAACTATAATGACTTCATTGCTCACCAGTTATTACATGTACGCTTTTGGATTGATTTGGTAAGGCAGGTAAAAAGTGACTTGTACATAGTAAGATGCTTAATAAATTTAAGCTTTCCTTGTCATTTTGCTCACTTTTCCCCTCACCCACCGTTTTCTCTACTAGAGGCATATGTGGCAAAACCAGAGAGAAAGTTGGTCAGTTTATATGTAACAAAGTAAACTTTGAACCATCTGAAATCAGGTTCCTAAACAAGATGCCTCAAACAAACAAACTCCCAAAAACACTAAACTGAAATCTGAATTTCTTGAGTTAAGAAATCAAGGAAAAGTTTCATTTAAAATCATTTCTGCTGTGGCTATGAAGTGATCAGTGCTTTATCACTAGTGTGAGGGACTCACAAAGCATGTTGGGTAAAAAAAATCAAGCAAGCATAGTTTTTAAAGTGCCAAAGGATATTCTTGGTTAAGAGACATCAGTGGGGAAGAGGCAAACCACTTGATAAAACCCTATGAAAAGAAACTCTTCATGGTCAATAGCTTCTTATTATAAGTCTTTCTCTTTCTGTAAAGAAAACGCATCCTCGGGTGGAAATGAAACACTCATCTGCCTGAAATACCCCCTTCAGCATGGTCCCCCTCTTCAGACACTAGAAATGGCTCCTTATTTTTCTGTCACATCAAATACAAATGCTGCTGCCTTATTATCAAAGCCCTCCATAAAGTAGCCCTGATCTACTCACGCAAGTTTATCTTGCATGAGTGCTATGAAGAAGGCAACTGATTAGCGTCCTAAGAGGCAAAAGTTTGAGATCAGAAAAAGCCAACTCCCTACCGTCTAGTTTCATGATGGAGTAGGTCACCTAACTCCCCTGGACCAACATGTCTTCACCTGTACAACTCGAAATAACACTGCTAACTTCTAGGGTTGCTGTGAAAGATAATACGTGGAATGCAGTAGGGACAGTGAGATGCCCAGGAGAAGCCCTCTGCAGGACTTAGTCTAAACAACTGGTACCATGCCACCACTGCCACTGCCACGGCTCTTCTGCCAGTCCTTGTTAGTCCTCATCCTGGGCCAACATGATGATTCGTTCTTCACAGATTTTTTTTTTTTTTGGTCACCTAGAAAGCTGGGTCCTCTTGGTCTACCTAAGCAAATATCACCTTTCTTTCAAATTTTAACTGTTCCTTGCAAACACCCTATTAGGGGTTCAACTGTGTCCTCCCAAAAAAGTTATGTTGAGGTCCCAACCATCAGTACCTCAGAGTGTGACTATATTTGGAAATAAGTCTTTACAAAGGTAATCAAGTTAAAATGAGGTATTATGGTAGGTCCTAATCTAATGTGACTGGTGTCCTTATAAAAAGAGGCTTGGGCAGACAGGCACAGAGAAAGGGTAGTGTGAAGACACACAGGGTGAAGATGACCATGTGATTGGAGTGATGCTTCTATGAGCCAAGGAATGCCAGGAATTGCCAGTGCATATCAGAAGCTAGGAGAGGCGAGGGAGGGTTCTCCCTGTCACTGTCAGATTTCGACTTCTGTACAGCTACCAGCACTGTACAGTTTTGTTGTTCTAAGTCACCCAGTATTTTCTGCCTTGTCACAGCAGCCTGGGGACACTAATCCATTCCCTTTTGTCTCCTAACTCTTGGTGCCACTGGCTGTTCTGCACTATTGTTGCACGTTCAGTTCATCTAGTCTTTAAAATCATAAGAGAATTAACTTAAAGAGCTTAAAGGGGCATGAATGTTTACATAAAGCCATAGTTGCTCTGCTACGACACAGTCTGACGTAGAATCTGACACAGAATCTCCTAGGATAAGGTGTTTTCATAATCTCCTTAGGAAATTTTCATGCATGGGCAAGCCTCATATTTTTCTTGTGGGAAGCTGAAGCTTAGAGAGTCTGTGGGCACACACCTGGTCAGTGACAGAGAACACGAGGTCTCCTGATGTCTGATCCACTGCTGCTGCAACTGCAACAGAGTTTTTGAGTAGTTGTCTTGTACTGCTCACACAGGGCTTTTTTTCCCAATGCAATTGAAGGCCTTTGACAGCAGGAACCAGATCTTGGACATCTCTGGCTCTCAAGGCAGCTAGAAAACCAGTTAACAGAATTTAAAATTTGT